AAATAAAAAAATTATTTTAAAATATTTCTGACGGATTTCGAAAAGTTCCGTCAAAAATATCTTTTTTCTTTCAAGTACATTTTCTCGGGAAAAATATAAAAATAAACCCTTCATATGCAACATACGTATATCAAATATACATTTGGTTTAATATTCTTATTGGGATATAACGATTATTGTTTTCATATCGAACTCAATACACACCACATGCATTTATTCAGTACATACATGCAACTGAACTTTAATGGACGTATTGAGATTTATACGATTCAATTGGGTTTAATGATTTCCATTGGACTTCAGTGGATCTATTGAGCTTTATTCGATTTGATTGAGCTTTAACAAGTGTTATTAGGCTTAATGGATCTTAGTGGACTTTAATGAATCTATTGAGTTTTATTCGATTCAACTTGGTTTTAATGGTTTCTATTAGGATTTAATGGAGAAATTATTTAGTGATGGCCAAAAACCGGTCCCGGGCCTCAACAGTGTCTGTCAGAACTGGTCCCTACGTAGTCGGTCCCTGTCTAAAGTATTAAGCCCGGTTAAGCATTTCTGTAACGGTTATGGTTACCCAGTCCCGATCTCGGTCCCAACAGGCCCCAGACCAAAAAAAATTTAATTTTTTAATGATAATTTTTTTAATACATTATAAAATTTGTAATTGAGTCACTCAAATATACTTTAACGATACGAGTCGATCACAAAATATAGCAAGGAACCGAGAATTGTAAACGTTCTTTTGCGTTGCATTTTGAAAGTTGGTATGTAAATTCTTTAATCATGACACTTATTTATAGAGTTTAGAAGATAAAAAAGACCTAAAAGAGGGTCACAAACGGTCATATAACAGTTATATTTAAAAAATGACTATTTTTTTAAAAATCGGGCCGGGCACATAACCGGTCCCTCGAAACCCTCCAGAACCATAACTGGTCCCGGTCGGCGGTCCTATAACCGGTCCGAGGCATGACCGGTTTGGCCATCACTACTCTTATTTGGTTCAATTGGGTTTTAACAAATGCTATTGAGCTTTGATGGATTTTAGTGGACTTTAATGGATCTATTGGACTTTATTCGGTTTAATTAGGCTTTAAAGAGTATTGTTTGGGTTTTAATGGATCTTAGTGGAAATCCGCCCAATAATGTTGCTGGAAATTATGTTTTGCGGCAGGTGATTTTCCGGCCATCCAATCCGTCTGAAATCAGCTAAAAATTTGGTTTCCCAACAGATTTGACCGTCCAAAATACCCCATTTTTTAGTAGTCTATTTGCTTAAGTAACATATATTAATCATATGAAATGAATCAATTATTAGTTCATATAAATATGCATCATATATTCTTTTAATACATATATGAAAGAAATATGAAGAAAATAGAATCAAATAACAAGAATTCTTTGGGCACAAAACAAGCATCCCTCTATAGATATTGTTCACTTACCAAATTGAAAATTCAATTAAACCTACAATTCTTCCCATAACAAATAGATATGGTCTCACGTACATCTCCATTATTTTCTGTATATTTTAGATTATCCGACTACTTATTTGACTTTAAAAGAGTATGGTGAGAAGCACAATATTTTTGGTTTTTTCGATGGCTGTTTTTATTCTTAATTTCCAATATTGAGTTGTTTATGTCGCTTCTAATATATGAAAATCACATGGAGTAAATTAGCATCTTGCCCTTTTGATTCAATTCACTATTTTATATAGGGGTGTTCAAAAAAACCGTTGGACCGCTCAAACCGACCGAACCAAGTCAAACCGGACCGTTTTTGGCGGTTTGAGCGGTCTGGCGGTCCGGTCTGGTTTGGAAAATAGCAAAACCGGGCGGTCCGGTCCGGTCTGCGGTTTGGAAACTTTTTTGGGCGGTTTGGACCAAACCGACCGCCAAATATTTATATATATATATATATATATATATATTTATCTATGTTAATATTAGCAACTTTTTTAACTTATTGATTATGACCCAAATTAACATAATCAAAATCGACGACTAAAACCATTAAACCATTGAACATATCGACACATTTGATATTGACGATCTCCAAATTTTGAAATCCCTCAAAAACTCTATCAATCTATTGATCTTTCTAATCCATGGTTTGATTTCGGCGCACATTATCAAGACATCAACCAAGTGATTCAACCAACTTAGATTTGGCTTCTATTTTGTTTGGTCAATACTTAAGAATTGAACCATTGAAGGTTGTGAAGTTGTGAATTTTGTTACTCAATACTCATAGTAGAGTTGTAACCTTGTTAATTTATTTGTTTTCTAATATGTTATATCTTTATATGTTTGTACTTTGATTGCCTCGACTTTGTACTCAAGAGCTGCTTAATTATTACATTTATTTGATTAGATATTTTTTTTGTTAAAATGGATACTTAATCTAAAATTCTAAATTATATATAATATATATATATATATATATATATATATATTAAGTTTAACATAAAGTCCATTAAAGACCCAAACCGCCTAAACCGGTCAGACCAGACCGCTTTTACTTGGTCTGGTTTGACCGGTCTGGGCACTTGATGTCAAACCGCTCGGTTTGGAAATTTTATAAACCGCCATTACGGTTTGGTTTGTGGTTTGAGGGGTTAAACCGCCCAAACCGGACCGCGAACACCCCTAATTTTATATGATATGAGGAGTTGAGTAAATTTATTTGAATATGTTAGAGTTTCACATCTGTTATACTTGGTCCATTTATCTTGTATATATGTTGGAACCTTCTCTTTCTTCTTATTGGTTCTTTCGGAGATTACCTAAGGTTCCATATAGAGGCGGTGTCAAGAATTTTGAATGAGGGGGTTTGCCAGTCCGGTCGCTTAATGTCGCACTTTGCTGTAAAATAATGACGATAAATATTATATTACATACAAACAAAATTAATCACCACTTGGACTAAAAGTTCACTTTGATTAATAATGTATAAAGCATAAATATTTAATCCTTTTACATTTTCTTTTAAAAAAGAAAAAGAAAATTACAACACTTAACTTAAAGATTTGATAAAGAAATCCGTAAGATACGATGTCGTTTTATTTAATTAACTTTATATAATGAATTTTTGGTCAATTAGTAAAAAATAAGAGAGAGAGAGAGAGAGAGAGAGAGAGAGAGAGAGAGATGTATGTGTAAAGAATAATTCTTAGGAAATATTTGTAATAAATTTATTATTTAGGATTATTAAAATGGATGGAGTGTCAGATACAGCGAATGGGTAGATCACAGAATTTAAGTTAAGCATCGTACGAACCAATTAAATTCAATTAACCAAATACAGAGTTTCAGATCCAAACCTTTTACTTTTTATTAATATACATTTTCATCCCTCATCTTTCACAAACATCTTCCACCCACCTAACAACTTCAAACTACTAAATAATACCCTCCAACCTAGGGGCGTACACGGGTTAGGTTAGACAGTTTTTTATAACTCAATCCAATTATGGTGGTTTGAAAACTTTTAACTCAATCCAACTCATTCAAAAGTATAACTCAACCAAACCCAACCCTTATGGGTTTGGTTGAGTTGGGTTGGGGGTTAGTAATATACATAAAATTAGACAAATAACTCTTGTTCATGTTCGTTCGTTTAACTAAACGAACAAAAAAATTGTTCATGTCCGTTCATTTATTAAATAAACGAACATAAACGAACTTCTCGCCGAACGGTTTGCTGAACGTTTGGTTCGTTTACAGCCATATCAATAAACTGTACTCCATGTATAAAAAATGGTTTTTAATTTTTTTATCAAATATTTTATAATATAATATAGATAGATAACATAAAAAAACATAAAAATGTCAAAGATACATTATTTCAAAATCTCAGGGGTTTAATTGTATGTATTTTTAAAAGGAAAAGTTTTCCCTTTCATGGGTCATCACATAAACCCTAATGAATTGAGTATTAGATGGCAATTACTTGCAGCAAATCCTTGTAGAGATAGATTGCGGTTATTCATACACGTGCATACACACAAAAAACACCATAGTAATTGAACAAGGGGATACAGTGTATGTGTGTTATTTTAAATGCGATTGAGTAATGAAGATGAAAGCATTGCCGCGAAATGGGGAAAGCAAAGAATGCTGTTCTTGCTGAAGAAAAGAGCTGAACAGAAAGAGCGCAAACATACAGCAACAGATGATTCAATTTTCATATGGAGATGCGAGCCATCAACTCTCCATCCATTAGGAAGGAAACCTTCACCATACTCAATCTTTTTTCTCTTTTATATTCTCATCCTCTTCATTCTTTAAACTGTTACCATACTCCCCTGATCATCTATTGTTTGATTTCATACACAGTCTCTGACATCTGACCCCCTATTTTTGAAAGAAAGAAAGAGAAAAAGAAAACAACAGAGTTTTTTTTGTGAGTTTTGTTGGTTTCACTGTTGGATTAAGGGAATCTTGTGATGATTGATCTGGGTTAGTCCTTTTTTCCCTTTTATTGATTGAAACTTCAAAAAATTTGTAGGGGGTTGGTTGGCTCTTTGATTGAGAGGATTCATCTGATAAATTTGATCCAGAGTTTTAGTTTCTTTTAGGTGATTAAGCTCTGAATCTTGTGTGATTGATGCTCCAATTGAGATTAGGATCTCCTAGTTTCTGATGAGGGGTTTACAGTCCGTATTTATCTCTTCAGATTAATTAGGAAAAGAAAAAAAAAATATTTGTTTCCTTTTGTTGTCTTGAATATCTCATTTGTTGTGCTATTGGATCTGTGTAAATATATTTCTTCTTTCAGATTCCAAAGGAGACTTTTTATTCCTTTTATGAATCTTTCCCTTTTTACAAAAGAAAGAAAAATACACCAATCTTCATCATATAATTTCCAAGGCATTGTTTAACAGCCAAAAACCCAAGTCTTTTTTAGCTTTTGGGTTTCACAGTTTGATCTTTTTGATGCCAAGAATCTGGCAATCAAATCTTTGTTAGTTTTTTTTGCTAGATTTGATAAAGTTAGATCTTGAATTTCTTGGGGAAAGCAGTGATCTAAGTTCTTTCTTCCCGGTGAAATCGAAATGGCGGATGGTGATAACATGTGTTGCCAATGTGAGACCAGAATTTCTGAATCTTGCACCACCTACCACTGCCGGAGATGCAGCCGGTTATTTTGTGAGAGTTGTGTGCAGGGTTCTGGTTCTTTTGTTGTTGTTGTTGTTGAATCTGGAAGTGCCACACAAGTTACCCTTGACATCCAATATTGCAAGCATTGTGCTAACATTGATGTTACACAAAAACTTGGGGGAAACTTTGACCAGAAAATACATCCTCCTGATTCGTCCTGCCAAAGCTCTGAACCAGACATTAGTGACACATTTGATGGGCAATCTCTCCAAGCAGTGTCCATTCGTCGCTCCTCTGGCAGGTATGAATATCATGGTTCTTATAGAATTGGGAATTTCTTTCATGTTGCTAACGTAAAATTTGAATTATTATTCGATTTGGATATGATCAAATGTTTGATGGTATTGTAGAATTTCTGAAATTTGGTTCTTTTTTATACTATAGGAGTGATGAAGATGAGGCAGATGATTCTGCAAAGAACTTCTTCAGTCCATGTAGTCTTGACACCTCAGATGTAGATTCAAGTAGTGTTAGCACTAGACGCGATTTTAATAGTTTCATGTCTGTTGGTTCAAGCCCTTCAGACAGCCCCTCTAGGATTCAAATTACATCCAATAGACTTAGGCATTGTGTACATTCGGATGATCAAGGAACACCAAGGTCTTCTAATGACGGTTCGTATGATCAAGAACATGTGGCTGTTTTAAAAAGCCATGAACAAGGGACCGAAGATTCTCAGACTCATACTTATGATGAATGTTCAATCTTTAGGGACCAATGTGAGAAATCACGCAAGCCATTAGATTTTGAAACGAATGATCATATTTGGTTCCCTCCGCCAGCAGATGATGAAAATGAGGATGCAGATAGCAATTTCTTTTCATATGCCGATGATGATGATGAAATGGGAGACTCGAGTGCTGTGTTTTCTTCTAGTGGAAGTCTTATGTCCCTTAAAACAAATGAGGAACACCAGGAACCCTTTAGAACAGTTGTGCAGGGGCATTTTAGGGCTCTTGTGTCGCAGCTGCTACAATCAGAGTTCAACTCAACTGAAGAGTGGCTTGACATAATAACATCATTAGCATGGCAAGCAGCTAACTTTGTCAAACCAGATACCAGCAGAGGTGGCAGCATGGACCCTGGTGATTATGTAAAGATTAAATGTGTAGCATCAGGAAGTCCTACTGAAAGGTAGATAACTAACAACACTATCTATTTTAAGGACCCAAGAAAATTTTCAGTTGAATAAAAACTTATCTTCTTCTATGCAGCACATTTGTTACAGGTGTAGTTTGTACAAAGAATATAAAACACAAACGAATGACTTCACAATACAAGAACCCAAGATTACTTATTTTAGGAGGGGCACTTGAGTACCAAAGGTCTTGCGATCATCTATCTTCTATTGAGACGCTGCTGCAGCAGGTTCGTTACTTTTCTATTGGTTCAGCTTACATATGAAAACGTGAAAACTTCTCACATCTGAAAAAAAAAATTGTATGGGTGAAATCTATTTCTGTCAACAGGAAATCGATTATCTGAAGATGATTGTTTCAAGGATAGAGGCTCATCGGCCAAATGTGCTTCTGGTAGAAGAGAGTGTATCTTCATATGCTCAGGAGTATCTTTTAGCCAAGGAGATCTCTCTGGTGTCAAATATCAAACGGCCATTATTGGAGCGTATATCTAGGTGCACTGGTGCCCCCATAACTCCATCCATAGCTCATATTTCTACCACACAGTTAGGCCAATGCGAGCTATTCAGATTGGAAAAAGTTTCAGAAGAGCATGAAATTGCCAACCAATTCAACAAGAAAGTAGCCAAAACTTTGATGTTTTTTGAAGGTTGTCCCAGGCGTTTGGGTTGCACGGTAAGATTCTTTTTCACATGCGTATTGTATCAAGTAACGTATTGGGGATAAGGTGCCCGAGATCACAATGAAAACAACAACAGATTCAGCGTATTATGATGTTATTTATAATTCCACGCATGATTTTTTGTAGGTCTTGCTAAAAGGTTCATTTCGTGAGGAACTAAAGAAGGTCAAACATGTTGTTCAGTATGCAATATTTGCAGCTCATCATTTATCCTTGGAAACTTCTTTCCTGGCTGACGAGGGTGCTAGTTTACCTAAAATGGCTATAAATCCCTCAGAGCCAGAACCAGAAAGGACGAATGCTGATAATTCTTTATCTAATCTCTCGAGTTCTACAGCACTCTTGCCTTTAGAAGTTACCAACTCCCCTAGATATATTAAAGGACCTACAGCTCTCAACTTGAAACTTGATCGGCATGATATAGCTTTTGATGGTCAAAGCTTTTCCCCTATGGAGGATAGAGATATTGAAATAGTCTCTAATCTATTAGGCGATGATCTAGAAGCAAGTGTGGGTTTAGAGAGCTCGAGGCTTTGTATTGTAGCATCTGCAGATGAAGAAGAGCGACAGCCATTTGAACTGGATGAACTGAAAAAGGTTGAAATGGTTGAAGTGATTGAAGCCTCTGATGAATACTATCCAGCCACTGACAACAACCAGAGTATTTTAGTATCGTTTTCTAGTCATTGTGTGCTAAATAGAACTCTATGTGAACGTTCAAGACTCTTGCGCATTAAATTCTATGGCTGCTTTGATAAACCACTTGGGAGGTACCTTCAAGACGATCTTTTTGACCAAGTAAGTTTGATATATATTTTGTTATTTTATCTTTTCGTCTATACGCTTAAGAAAGATTGAAGCTTTACCTTTCCCTTTTCATGGATTATTTTTTCAGACATCATTGTGTCGATCTTGTAAGGAACCAGCTGAAGCTCATGTCACATGCTACACTCACCAGCAGGGAAATCTAACCATTAATGTTAGACGGCTTCCATCACTGAAGCTACCTGGGGATAAAGACGGAAAGATATGGATGTGGCACCGTTGTTTGAGATGCACCCATGTAGATGGGGTTCCACCAGCAAGTCACAGGGTGGTCATGTCTGATGCTGCTTGGGGACTCTCGTTAGGGAAGTTTCTAGAACTTAGTTTTTCAAATCATGCTACTGCTAATCGTGTTGCCAGCTGCGGACATTCTCTGCAAAGAGACTGCCTTCGATTCTATGGGTAATAACATATCCAAACTATCTAGACTTGTTATCAATCTATTCACATGTTTTTGTGTGTGATTAATTAAACTTCTATTTCCTACAGCATGGGGGATATGGTTGCGTTTTTCCGCTACTCTCCAATTGATATTCTTTCCGTCCATTTACCTCCATCGGTTCTTCATTTTGGTGACCATGTTCAACAGGATTGGTTAAAGAAAGAAGTAGCAGAGGTGCAGATATAATAGAATCTGATTCTGCATTTTTCTTGATATCAAACTGTTGTCCGAAGTTTTTTATGTACTTAACTTCTTCCTCTTCTGGTGATCAGCTTTTGAGCAAGATAGAAGCTTTGTATGACGAGATACTCGATGTACTAAATGGGTTTGAAGCAAAGAGTGCATTCTTCGGAAATGAGTTACCCGATTCAGAAAAGTTAACTAATCATGTCATGGAGTTGAAGGGTCTACTAATTAAAGAAAGACAAGATTATGTTGTAAGTCGAATTGCATCAATTTCTATGTAAAGAGCTAATTGGTATATCTCCATCTCACTTGTGTTCTGTTTTTGTTAAAAGAAGGTTCTGCTTCAATCTGCTGGTGAAGAGAATGGGGCTGAAATAGATGTTTTTCAACTTAACCATCTGAGACATGCTCTTATGATTGATTTGCATTTCTGGGATCAGCGATTCTGTTCACCGAATCTCTATGGAAAGAATTCTAATTTCAAACCGATTCAGGATGCTACATCTAGTCCTGAGGCTGAGTTCTGGAGAAGTGATTCCATTATTGCGGGGAACATTGATCAAAATGGTGCAGACCATGACTCGGAATACCAAACTGCACAAAACGAAGGATCTGATGTCGTTTCTGACTCATTGTCAACCTCTTTTGATCTATGCAAGAAACAGGAAGTGGAAATAGGTATCAAACATAAGTTACCACTGGAACGTAACCCTTCAGCTGCATCCGTTTTATCTGATAAAATCGACTCAGCTTGGGCAGGACCTTTGAACGCCGCATTTCATCTTCCGAAAACAGAAGTACCTGAACCACCTGTGAATCTAAGCAGTAACCCACTTCTCAGTAGGCTATCTCCATCACCTGCCAGAGTTTATTCTTTCGATTCTGCCATAAGATATCAAGAAAGAATCAAGAAAGGCTTGCCACCTTCGTTATATCTGTCAACACTTCGATCTTTTCATGCTTCTGGGGAATACATGCATATGGTTAGAGATCCTGTGCATAACATTCAAATGAGGAGTTATTCTCAGGATTTTCCGAATGAAGATCATAAGCTAGATTTCTTGCTGATGAATAGACCTTTGTTGATTTCCTCCACATCTTTTCTTCCTGAAGGCGCACGTTTGATGATTCCTAATGGTGGTCAAAGCAACGTAGTAGTCGCTGTTTATGACAACGAGCCCACTAGCATAATCTCTTATGCCCTTACATCTAAAGAGCATGAACAATGGGTTTCTGATAAACCAAATCTCAGTAGAAATGATTCAGTAGCTTCTAATGCTTCAGCCTGGCAGTCTTTTGGCTCCATGGATCTAGACTACACTCATTATGGAAGCTATGGATCAGAAGATCCATCCACAGCAATCGGTCCATTGTTCACTGATCCCAAAAATTCAAATCATATAGCGATTCCTTTTGAGGATGATTCTGGTGTTGACGGAAAGGTGAAATTCTCTGTGACATGTTATTTTGCAAAGCATTTTGACTCCCTTAGAAAGAAATGTTGTCCTAGCGAATTGGACTATGTGCGCTCATTAAGCCGATGTAAAAGATGGAGTGCACAAGGAGGGAAAAGCAATGTCTATTTTGCCAAATCGTTGGATGAAAGGTTTATTATAAAACAAGTCACGAAGACGGAACTTGAATCCTTTGAGGAATTCGCACAAGAATATTTCAAATACTTGACGGATTCTCTAAACTCCGGAAGCCCAACATGTCTAGCAAAGATCTTGGGAATCTATCAGGTTTCTTTTCCTATTTCTTTCCATCTTTTTACCTTTTTCAGTCATTTTGATGCTAACAATTATGGTGATATATGACAGGTGACGGTTAAACACTTGAGGGCTGGGAAAGAAGCGAAAATGAACGTGTTAGTAATGGAGAATGTATTCTTCAAGAGAAATATTTCACGCGTTTATGATTTGAAGGGGTCTTCAAGGTCTCGTTACAATTCAGATACGACAGGAACAAATAAAACGCTGCTAGATATGAATTTGTTGGAGGCATTGCGTACAGATCCCATCTTTCTTGGAAGTAAAGCTAAAAGAAACCTCGAAAGAGCTGTTTGGAACGACACTTCCTTCTTAGCGGTAAGTTGTTTTACCATTATAATAATCTTGGAGAAGGATTCAGATGTTAGAATTTTTTGTTTCATAAGTCATGAAAACATAGAAATTCATTGAAATCATTCAAGAACTCTCTCTTTAGAAAGAAATCATTCAAGAACTCTCTCTTTAGAGAGAAATCATTCCATAGATAAGAATGCCTAAAAACCTGTTTGAAGGTCATGGATTTAAAAAGCACATGTCAGGAGGTCATTTAGGTCGTTTCATTCTAATGTGCACGTTTGATTGCAGTCAATTGACGTGATAGATTACTCCTTGCTGGTTGGAGTGGACGAGCAGCGGAAAGAACTGGTTCTTGGGATCATTGATTTCATGAGACAGTATACATGGGACAAACATCTAGAAACATGGGTGAAAGCATCCGGAATTCTGGGTGGACCCAAGAACGCAACCCCGACCATTATTTCTCCCAAACAATACAAGAAAAGGTTCCGAAAAGCCATGACCAGCTATTTTCTAACAGTCCCAGATCAATGGTCATCCTGAATTAAAAGTTAAAACCACCATCTTTGGCTAAGAAATCTACTTATTTTTTTCTGGGGTAGAATTTCGATTTAGCCTTTGATATTGGTAGGTTAATTTTGTATACAAATGGTAGTTAGGGAAGGAGGGAGAGGTTGTTGATTTTTGTTCACCATTTAAACAAGATGTAAATGTGCAGAGGCTCCTGCTTAAAATCTTCTGTGAAAACTGTCTTTTAATTCAATGAAAGTTGGTGGTTCACGTTTCGCTACTTTTTATTTCTTTATTGCACATGGGTAGCTTTTAATTAAAGCCACATATCAAGTTTTTAATAAGGGATACCATAAGCTGGTGTCTGATTGGTTTGAACTTGGCTTTAAAAGTCAAAAATATCAGGAGGTTTTATGTTCAGATCTAATGAGAAATAAAAATCCCCTTATAACCACGGAGGTTCAAATGCGGTGACTCCGGACTATCTGCAAAACAGGTGATCGTCCTGGGATTAGTCGGTTTGCGTAGCGGGTTGGATATCTAGATTAATCAAAAAGAAAAAAAATATATTCTTGTAGGTCAACATTATTTTCTGTAAAAAAAATTAATGCTAACTAATTCTATCAAAAAAAATTTAAAAATTAATTTCAAGTAATTTGTTCTAATTTCTTTTTCTAATTTTTTCTAATTGTTTTATAAATTTATTTCTAAATCAAGATGACATGAATTTGTGCTTTTTCTAATTTTATATTTTACAGATTTTTTTGCCAACCAACCATTTATAAATTAATTGAAATAACTATAAGATTATTTTTATTTTTATCAATTATAATGTTAACATTTTAATTAATTGATAGTTTATATATTTATTTTGGTTTAGATTTAAATATTTAAAGCTACAAGATAAAATAATTTAATATAAAAAATCATCAAAATTCGTTAATTGATAAATCAACAAATAAAGTACAAAAAGTCTAAAAA